AAAAAAAAAAAAAAGAACACACTCCTGACAATCTTCTCACACCACGTTATTGAGCCCGCATTTCTTCTTATTAAATGTACCCATGAGTTTTTGTGACCATTCACCCAAAAAGGTCACTTGGCATTTTAGCTCCTGGGATGGGGACACACTAGGTGGGTAATAATGGCCAGAGAAGTCAAAGGGATAAACTTAGAAGCCACTGTCTCTACAACTTTAAAAACTCAAACCCTACCTCCTGTTGGGGCATAAAATTTTGAAAACCATTTGTAGAGGTATCAGTGAGAGCCTACGTATAAAAGAGGAATGATGCTTTGCAAAATCCCCCAAGACTGCCCGAGCTTTTTCATGGTAATGAAGAAATGTCAGTGGAAGTTGATGGGGCGTGCGTGCATGTGTATGGATGTGGGGGTGGATGGGGCGCGAGAGAGGGAAAGGCTGGCAGACTGAAATTTTACATCTGAAATGTCATTTGGAAATCACTTGTGTACTCCAAGTCCTAAACTCTTCTCCTGCTATTAAAAATGGTCTGCAAACAGGTCAGTCTGCTGTAAAAAATTGATTTGACAACAGCATTTTTAAGTCGTTGATGGCTTGAAGTTATCAGAGCAGCATTTTCTTCTGCTCTGATGTGGTGTGAACAGAGGCATGTTTATCTGCTATTTATGTAACAGCCTGATGAAAAAATAGGGCATGTGCTTCCCTTCTATTTGTCTTCTGCATTAACCTCATCTTGAGGTCAGGTGAAAATGCTATAGGTACTGATCGCTGCACGTTATCAGCATTATTGCTTAATGTGCCATCAACCACAAGTGCAAGTGGGCTCAGGATCGTCGCCGCGGTCTTCCCAGGAATCATTTATCTGGGGCTAACTCCGAAAAAATCATTTAGAATTGTGACATTTAAAGATAAAGATTAAAAGTTCTGAAAGGAGCAGAAGTCATCCACAGAGGGCCCTCTTGGCACCATAAATCAAAGTTTGTTAGAGCTGCAAATTGGAAGAGCGTAACACAGAGGTGCAAACCTTTAATGTGGTTATCCAACTCACTGGTCTCCACCACTTACTAGACCACTTCTATTTTTGAGTTCTATTCTCCCAGTGTAGACTGTGATTTTTTGGCAAACAAACACAAAATCCAGGGTTAAAAAAGATAAAATGTATCTTGCATAAAGCATCTTTTCAATGGAAATGCCAAGTTCTTTATACATTTGAAAAATTTATTCATTACCTGGCTTCTAGGGGAGCCCCTTGTTTCCATTTTTTTCTGGGGCTGTTTCACCCCACTAGGCTTTCCAAATGACTGTTCACAGATGCTGAGGCTTTGGTCACCTCTGAGTGGTGTTTGGAAAGAGTATTGGGGAGGTGGGCTGCTTTTTGGCCTCCGTGCATACAATTCAAGTCAGAACTTTTGATCTTAAGGGAATATAGAGTTTAGAAACAAATCTGCATTCAGTTTGGAATATCTGAAGATGATAGTAGTTAGGAAAAAGGATGTTAGGCATGGTTTGTATGCAGGCTATGATAGGTACTTCCTTTCCAAAAAGGTGTTTTTTAGTGCTACAAATTAGTTATCATATTAGTATTAGAAGCTTTGTTAAGAATTCCAAATAATACACAATTGTGATTATACACAAGGTGTTTGCAAGTCCCATCTTGTAGGTATTAAGCCACAGAATATTTTGTACATTTTAATAACTGATAGTCAAATGCCTTGCTAAATACTACTCTTTTTGAGGGGAAGCAGTAGTGAAAGAATACAATTGGCTGTTTATATTTTTGTCTTATTCATAAAGAGAATAAAATTATGTACAAACTATTTATAAGGAATTTATCATCCCAAATGCATTTTAATGGTTGTAGATAAATACTTCTGTTTTGAGAAGGCTTCAGAGCTATAACAGAAAATGAAATAAAGGGCTCATGTGGAAAGAACTTTACAGCATGCTGCAACTTGATTGTTCACACTTCAAAGCAATCCTAAGAAAAACTGTAAATAAGGACTAGGCATAAAACTCCGCTGGCACCTGGGAATACTCAGCCCACTGCACAACAGAACAGAGTCTGAATTCTGGCAAACAGCCAACCTCTGTGGATAAATCTGGAAAGGCTTAATGTACACCGAAGAACTGATGTACTCAGAAACTAGGTGGGTGTACTTAGCTTCGTGCCACTTAGAGAACTCATTGACTTCCCTGAATACAAAATAGATCTGGTCATCATGTGTTACACCGGATTCTAGTACTGCTTGCCAGTCCATAATAAAACACAGAGTTAATAGGAAGGACTCACCTTTCTCAAGAGATACTTCTACTCTCTCTCATTTTTAATGCTCATTTGAACTTATTAGAATCTCCAAAGCATTTCTCAAACACTTTAACAAGATGAAGATATACTAGCAAAGGTAATTGGGTGAGCATTACTAAGTGTGAGTCATAAGGAGTGTAACAAAGGCTTTGAGTGAGTCATCTGCCCAAGTTACCAGAGCTGTATACAACATAACACTGCCTTTCTCTTTGTTAAGTGGTCAAACTACCATAACGTCTAACAGTATCAATAGCGTGGTTTTTTTTTTTTTTTTTTAGCTCATTTTTAAATATTCTCAGTCGTTTAAGTTTATGTCATATATTTTCCAGATTAAGGCTCTTTGGAACAGAAACCACTGTTATAAAGATAGGCAACAGATCACTTGCGTATTTTAAAACAAGAAATGCACAGACATTGTAGGGATTTGTTTTTTCATGATAGCCTGGTAATAAAAAATTTTAATACAAAACCTTTCATCTTCAAAGGATCTGAAAAACGTAATTATTCAATGCAATAGCAAATGTTAGATTTCTATTAAGTTAGCTGAATTTTCCAGTTTCTTTCCTTCCCTCAGCATACATTTTCCTATTGCTGGCTTCACCAGAAAAATAACAGCTTCAAATTTATCCCTAAGCTAAAACTCATCAAATGATTGACAAAATCTTAGCTAACTTGAAAAGTAACTTATATAAAACCTGGTTTGCTGTTTGGGGGCATATTCTGCTCTCAGCAAATGAATGCACATTTTTCTCCATTGATCAGTGGAAAGAAGTGACTATTCTTCAAACATGAAACTTTCTTATATAGCTAAATATCTTTTGTGCTACTATGAGTCATTCCTGAGTGTGTCTTTTATTCCTTTGTGATTTTATCAAAGTTCAGATATTTTTAAAAGATCTTGGAATTTTCTAAATAGGGTTCACGTAATATATTCTCCAGCTATATACTTTTTTTAAAAAGGTATTAGAACGAATCCAGATCCTGACATACCATCTTGTGTTTAACATATGATCAGTCACCTTCTTAAGATGATTGCAACTTTGACGTTGCAAATGAACACGTTCCCAGGTGCTTGAGGCCAAAAAGAGGCAGGCAGTGAAACTAAAAGGAATTGCCTGAATATGACTGTTACTTCTATTTGTTGCTAGGTTTTTATTAGAATCTGTGTTGGTAGATTAATTTGGGGTGCACATATCATAGGGTTGATATTCACTTTGTGTCACCAATATGGCTATATTTCTTATTTAAACACTGAGAAATTTCTGTATAGATTGGTAGATAGCTGTTGCTGCAGACCCTGCCAAATTTCTCTCTGTCTTTTCCTGCTGCTCTGGTCCCACACCAGGATTGCCATTCCTTCTTCCTACTTCAGCAACTGCTAATGCCTTTACACAAGGAGCTTCTTGGGCTCTATTCCTGAGCCAAGACTAGCGTCTATTCTGGTTGGTTGGTGCTTACGCTACACATATATTGTAAAAGCCACCCCAGCTTCTGTGTATGGGAAGCCATGGAATCAGAGTGTCCTAACTGAATCCTGAGTTCCGCTACTCAGTAATGCTTGATTTTGGGTGGGTTGTTTACCTGCTCTGTGTCCCAGTTACTTCCTATGTAAAATGTAATAATAAGATGAATTAGCTCACAGGGATTTTGTGCACAAAATAATACATGTGAAGTACTTAGAATAGTGCCTTTCAATAAATGTCCCATAGTGTTGTCATCTTCGCTGCCTGGTGTAGGAATAGAACGCAAATTTCTTGATTGTGAGCTTGAAATTTTTACACTAGATAATGCCCCTTTGGCTCCAATAATGCTGGTGATATAATAAGGTACTAGACTACAGCAACCGTTTGAGTGAGAAATGAAACCTATTTTCAATTTTCATTTATTTAAAAACATGGTTCACCTGAGAGTATTGCATGCTGATTTTCATTATTTACAAGAATGTTGTGTAAATATAAAGACTAGAGTTATTACTTGCATGCTATGAGCCAAGTAAAATTTAAATATGACTAAAGGAGAAAGCCAGGGAGTGCTCACTGCTACCTAGCACTGACCTTTCAGACGGGCAACTTGTTGAACAATTCTACCAGCAAAAAGTGCCTTATTAGCTGACCCTACAGCATCTCCACTGTCCAGGTGGAAACAGGATGGAGCAGTTGGTGAAGGGACCACATTGTTTTGTTTTATCTTATTGGTGGCATTTACATCTGTCAAAACTGTCCTTCCTCCCTGAGGAGTGAAGCATGGTGGATCACAGTCCTCTTCAGTCAAACTGATCAGTTCATTTAAAAATTATCTCCTGTAGGCCAGGCGTGGTGGCTCATGCCTGTAATTCCAGCACTTTGGGAGGCTGAGGCGGGCGGATCACCTGAGGTAGGGAGTTCAAGACCTGCCCGACCAACGTGGAGAAACTGCATCTCTGCTAAAAATACAAAATTAGCCGTGCGTGGTGGTGCATGCTTGTAATTCCAGCTATTCAGGAGGCTGAGGCAGGAGAATCAATCGCTTGAACCCAGGAGGTGGAGGTTGCGATGAGCCGAGATCGTGCCATTGCACTCTAGCCTGGGCAACAAGAGCGAAACTCTGTCTCAACAACAACAACAACAAATTAGCTCTTGTATTCAGCATAATTGCCAAACCCTGTCACTTCCTGTTTGTGTGTGTGTGTTGTGTGTTGAGGGGGCTCAGGGGGTTGTTGAGAGGAGAGGGTAAGGCGAAGAGGATGAAAGGGAGATGCCAGCGAATCTTAGTAAATGGGTTTTCTTTCTGCTGTGAATTAAATATCACCTTCCTTTTATCTCCACTTTCTGTGGAGAGGGTATGGCAGGAATTAGCCACAGGAGTAATTGATTATTCTGTTGACACCTACTACACTGCCAGATGTCACATCACAGGCTGTGATGCACCCCTTCATTAATGGACTGTGGATCATAAAAATAATTTAAATTGGATGGTGTAAAAATAAACTGGATGGTTAAAACTGGCTTAGTGTCAGTCATATGAGCAGCCACAATGTACATTTTGTGCATGAAGAAAAGACAGAGTAGGCAAATTGCTGTTGGTCACATTTTGAAACATTGTTGATACAGAAAATGTATTTATTTAGTTTTTAGGGATAGCTAAATTCAAACTGTATTCCTAAGTCAGCTGGATGTAACATTTACTTATTCATCTTTATAAATGAATGTCATGAGCAAAATTGCCTACATAGTGAGTTTTTAATTTTTAATAATTGAATGATATGTGGATACTCAATGGTTGGAACTCTCAGCTAATGTTTTTCTTCCCTCTGATTCATGAAGGTCCATGTACAGCAATGGGTGCGATATGCTTTAAATGGGAAAATGTGTAGTGGACTTTTAGTTTTCCTCATCAGGGGCCACATGATAACTTCAGAACTAGGGCTGGATCAAAACCTTCAGTGGTGAAAGCAATAGAAACCATTATGGAGATTTCTGTCTCCACCTTCCCATATGTAATAAAAATAAATAAATTGTAAAATGTGTGTAAGAAAGTTGAATGACATTTTGTTTTTCTTCCATGTTGTAGTTCTTTTGCTGGAAATATCAAATAATAAAGCATTCCTATTTGTCTTATTTTTTGTGCCCCTGTGTTTCTGAAACATTAGTCTCTTCATCAGATGATTCAGGATTTTCATTTGTAAAAGTATAATTATTTTTTACTTCATTTTATTTTACTGCCCTTGTAACAACCAAACTTAGACTTTACTTCTGATTCACAAAACTTATATGATGCAGATTCATTTAAAAGTGGTGAGCCCTAACTATACTTTGTTTATACTTTGTCTTACCCTCTTTCCAAATAGATACAATATGCTACCTAGTATAGAGTGTCTTCCTTGATTAAAACTCTTGAATAGTTTCCCATTCTAATGGTTATGATGATGAGAATGAAAGTAACAGCAATATTTATAGAGCATTTGCTATTTGTCAGGTGGCAGTTATGTGCTTCTGATATATTAACTGATTCAATACAGAAAATAAATCTACAAGGTACTATTATCTGATTTAAGGATGTGAAAATTGGGAAACAGGAGTTGAATAACTCAAGTAAAATCACACAGATACCAAAATGGAAGAGTCAGCATTTGAACTCAGGTTTCAGTTTTAAAGTGTATGTAAAATAAGACCTAAGTTTTAAATTTTTTTAATAGAAGAGAATGAAAATAATAAGACTTGAACACTGAATCTCTCTCCATATATTAATGTTCTTTTCTTCCACAAGTTTTGTATTTTTTGTATATCGTATCTACATTAAAAAATCAGATTTATATCTAAGTATTGAAAATTTTAAATTTTCAAGTTCCAATTGTTCTTTACCAGCCTTTCCTATATGAAATTTATATTCTGAGACCTAGTTATACTCAGTTATTGGTTCCAGGAGTTTTTGGTTATTGTTGATTTTGGAATTTTACCACAGGTAATCCTGTCACCTGTGAATAGACACAGTCCTCTTTCTTCCTTTCCAATCTATAAACTTATGTTTATTTTTCTTGCTTTATTGCACTAGCTAGAATTTCAACTACAGTGTTGAATAGGACTAATGAGCAAGGACATAGTTGCCTTGTTCCTCATCTGAGGGAGAACATGTCTAGTTTCTTACCATTAAATATGGTGTTAATTGTAGGTTATTGGTAGGTGTTATATTGAGGAAGTTCCCTACATTCTTTGTTAGCTGAGGATTTTTATCCTGAATAGTGTTGTATTTTGTCAAATCCTTTTTCTGAGTCAATTGATGTGATTGTATGATTTTTTCTCTTTCATCTATTGATATGATGCATTACATGATTGATTTTCTAATGCTGAATTAGCCTTGAATACCTGGAATAAACCCTACTTGCTGTGTAAGTATTTTGATTGGTACCTTGTTATCCCAAGAGGATTGATTCCAGGACTACCCTTGGTTACCAAAAGCCATGCCTATCCAAGTCCACAGTCAGACCTGTGGAACTGCTGATATAAGAAGTTGGCCCTCCGTATTTGTGAGTTTTGAATGCCTCAAATACTCTGTTTTCCATCCACATTTGACTGTGGTTGTGGAATCCATGAATACGTAGGGACAACTGTATTTATTGCAAAAATCCCCATGTAAGTGGATCCATGCTGAACTGCAACCCATGTTGTTCAATGGTCAA